CCCTGCCGGAGAGGTCAGTGCTTCCTTCTGCCGCCGTCCCTGGATTCACCCCGCTAGACTGCCGGGCCTCCCTGCCCCTCACCCCCAGTTCCCTGTGCCCACCACTGTTCTAGCCCCTGGGCCTGTCCCTTTGCAGATCAGCCTCCCCACAGCCCTGGGAGCTATCTAAGACAGGGATTGCAACTAACGGATGGCACTGCTCTCCAGGCCTGGTTTAGGGCCTGCACAAAGAAGGTGCCTGAGGAGAATTTGCTGAGTCCTGGATCTGGACAGCATCACCCAAGGGCTTAGCGGAGGAAGGTCCTTCTACAGCCTGACAGTAAACACGCTCCCTCCTGACCCCTTAGGAATGCTCTTGGCTCTCAGACCCAAGTCAGGCCCGAAAAATGAACACTGTGTGTTAATTACACAACAAAACAGTGTGTTCTGGACTCAGCCTCCAGGCGGCTGACCCTCTGGGCTGCCATGTGGTCCACCAGCCGCTGCAGAGCCTGTCCCCCGGGAGGGGACCTCTGCCCCCCCACCCAGCCCAGCCTTCTCCAGGGCCTCCAGGGCCAGACGGCTGACCACGGAAACCAGGGGCCCACTCTGCATATTAAACAAGAAGAGCTGTCATTTCCAGACACATGTGCATGCATGTGTGTACGCGTTCACACACCCACACACACCCACACAACACACCCCTCAAACAAAATAATGTAAAAAAAATTGTAAAACAGAGAAAGGGAAAATGTCCCCATCCTAGGTGAACTCTCTGTTTAGCTTTTTCCCTCTCACTTTAGAAAGACACAGATCCTGAGGAATATCCCTCCCTTGTAATAGGGACAAGCGAGCTCCTGAGGACAGCAGACACTTGGCCTGGGGACCCCAAGGGGTAGCAGGGGTGGGAAGGCCTGAGATCCAGCATCCCATACCCAGGGGCAGCCAAAACCCTACTCCAGCCACCTTCTGCCCTGTGGGAGATGAGCCTGGTGATGCCAGCGTCACACTTTTCTAGCAAAAATCCAGACAGTTGGATTTTTATGACATATTTTGATTTTTTAAATTGCTGTAGGAGGTAGAACACAAAGACAGGAAGGAACAAACAGATGTTTGTGGGCCACGTAAAGCCCCTGAGTTCACAATTACCAAAGCTCCTCCCCATTTTACAGATGTGTAAACTGAGGGGCTACAGCTTGCCAATGGTCATTAAGAACGAGTGAGAGAGCCAGGATAGAGGCATCCGATCTCCGAGCGCAGACTCTTCCCTCAATTCTGCCCTTGAGGCCAAGGGTCTGCACTCCCAGGGGCAGGGTCTTTCAGGAGAGGAACCAGGTGCTCCTGCTTCCGCTCCATCCCCCAGTCCCATCTCTTCCCAGGAACCCGTGGTGACAGCGGGTGACCAGTGCTCGTGCATCAAGTAGCCGAGGCTTCCAGACCCAGGAGAGAGCCCAGAGGTAAGGGACTCCGGCTTTTACAGAGACACTAGGGTCAAGGGAGATGGGAACTTCTCTGAAATTGGAGGTCAAGGGCAGGCGGACCAAGCTGGAATGCCAGCTCTTCCCCTTCCCTGCTGGATGAGTGGATAAGTGACAGAGCCACTCTGGGCCTCTGCACTCAGGTTTAAAATGTGGAAACACACGAGGTTGTAGGCATGCTCAGTCACATACTGTAAATAAGGCCCCGGGGTGCGAGCAGGTGCTCCTTGGTTGCTAGAATTCTGGGTGGGCCAGGCACGGCCCTGGCCAGAGAAACCCGAGTCCCATGCAGTTCTAGGAGGTGGATCAGCGCTTCATGACTGGTCAGCACCAGGAGGAATCCTCCCCTTCACGTTGAGATACAGCAATCAGGGCTCAGTCAAGGACTGAGGACAGAGACTTGCTCCGCAAGAACAGCTCAGAGCTTGCAGATTCAGCTCCCCAAATGTGCAGGGGAGGGGAGAGGGAGCTTGATGAGGGAGGCGTCAGGCCAGGTGGAAAGGGCACCGACCCAGGCCTGTCTCTACCCCAAATAGCTGTGTGACTTTGGGAAAGTCACTTAATCTCTCTGAAACCTAGTTTTCACAAGCGCAACAGGGAAAATGCATCTTGCAAGCTGGTGGCAAAGAGCGAAAGAGAAAGTAGATGCCTACGACATGTGACTCCCCAGTGGTCCCAGCTCCTTCGCATCCTAGTTGCCTGGTGTCCTCAAAACTCCCCGCCTGGATTCCTGTTTGTCTCTGAATAATTCTTCCCAAAAGGTAGTCTTTGGCATCTTACATTTATGGTTTTCACTGTGAGCCAAGCACATTTTGTAAAATTTATTACTTCACATTAAAAAAATATCTAATGGACTCCCTTATATAAACTGAAACATAAAAATTAAAGGACAATGTTGCATCAGCGTTCTTAGTTGAGAAGCCATTTTGCAGGCCATAAACTGAAATCACTGGTAGAAAATAAACACAATCAAAAGCAAACGAGGTATTAAATTCTAGCTGGACACAGCTGCCCGGGGAGGTTCTGAGCACAGAGGCTGCTTTTTCCTTGTTACAAGGAAAGAAACGTTAAGTGTCAGAGAAGTGGTAATGCTGACACCAAACTGAGACCTGCTCCTCGATGGAAATGGGAGGATTTAAGGAATTAATCTGGGAATAATGTTTGTCCTCTGCGGTTTGATCTTATTCACTGCCTTGAACTTGATGTCAGGGAGCCCCGACCATATCTCCATAGGCAGAGGCCTGTGGGCCCGGCAGAGGCTGTGCCCGACCCCACCCCTCCCCAGGTCTGTCCTGGGCGACGCGAAGTGACCGCTTATCAGGAGGGGGTAGTTCTGAGGGCCCTTGGGAGGGACCACAGACTCCTCAAACTTTGGGGAGGGGCCCTGGGAGGGGACTTCGGTGCCGGCCTCTGGTGTGGCCTATGGTAGCCAGGGCGAGAGGGAGAGGCTGGGACGCCGGTCACAGGAAGAGTATCTTCAGGATGCAGACGAGACCAGTGACCTTGAAAATGGTACTAATCACAGCCCAGACACAGCCATCGCTGCTCTGACTGGCGGTGATGATAACGTAAGGCCGAGAGACCCACTAATCGCACGCTCCCCAGCCTAACACTTGCAAGAGGCCTCCCAGGCAGAACTTTGATAGCTTTCGTTTTGCTCCCAAGTGGAATCAAGATAATAAAATCTCCAGCCTTTCTCGGGTGTCTCCCACGTGCTAATTTAACTGTTTTGCAGTCTTTATTTCACTCACTCTTTACAGTGGCCCGCGAGGTCATTATCATTCTCCTTATTTTAGGTCTGAGGAGAGGAAGACTCAGAGAGGGTGATGAGAAAGCCAGGGTCACCATCTCTAGGATCCAAGGCCAGGATTCAAATCTCTGACTTCATGGGGTCCTGCCGTGGAAAGTGAACAGGTGTGGACTGGCTCTTGTGACCCAAAGACATAAAACGAGGGACAAGGGTAGACATTGTCCAAGGGGCAGCCCAGGATTTGAAATCTAACAGAGACTCCGGGAGCCAAAGGCACAGAGGCAGGCTGCCTGCTGGCACCAAGACCGAGGCCCGGCCTGAAGAGTCCACTGGCTGATCGCCATTGTGACCCTGGGTGCACATCCACAAGGCACGGGCCAGGCATCACCTCCCAGGCTGCTGGCAATGCGGTGAGCTGGGCCTCCTGATTCTGACTTTACAGACTTTACCACAGGTCCAGAGACACGAAGTCACCTCCCAGAGTCACCTGGCCACCGGGAGGCTGAGTTGAATTCAAATTTGTCCCAGAGAAGAGACTTGATACTACACATTCCCTGAGTCTAGAACAGTGCCTGGTGCCCAGCAGAACGAATGAATGAAAGAGTGAATAAATGAATGAGTGAATGACTTCCGCTTTCCCTTGCTGCATCCAGAAAAGGCACACGGGGAAAGGCGTGCGCTTGTCAGCAGTGGCGGTCTCCGGCCTCCTGGGTGACGTGTTCACTTCCCTCCTCGCCTTTCCTGGCTGCTGTGAGTTTCCTCCAACGGCTACACCTGGGCCTCGCAACGACAGGCACGTGCAGTGTCTTTTATTCTTCCTGAGCTGCTCCACTCGGGCGGGCCACCCCAGGGGAGCCAGGATCCCAGGGCAGAAGCGTTTTCTAACACTAAGTGGAGAGAAAGAGCAGATAAAGACCCTTGGGGCACCACTGCCCTGTGGGCATGGCCTTGCCTCGAGGTCTGCTGCAGAGACAGCCTGGGACCCCGGAGAGCGTTTCCCACCCCTCCCCCACCCCGCTCCCCACATCTGCTCCAGCTTTACCAGGGCAGGTCGATGGGTGGACTTGGCCCCGCACGGGCCCGACCTACTGCAGCCTCGCTCAGGGCCAGCCTGGGGAAGGCCCATACAGGCCGGACAGTGCCGGTGTCGAGCACTGCTCTCAGCAAAACGGAGAAGTAGGTCAGACTTGGCGAGGAGGCCCTAGCTTCCCCTCTTCCTTCTTACCTCCCTGGGGCTCCTCATTCTGGGCTCTCCACCCATCCCCACAAAGACTGAGCCCCATCAGTCTCATGGGTTTGGGCCCCAGGGGACCCGTGACGAATTCTGTTTCTGCTACTTGTTTGCTATGTGGTTATTTTTTACTTACTCACTCGGAAGCTCGACTGTCCTTGAATGCTGAATGGGCGTAACAGAGCCCACGTCACAGGAAAACTAAGCGTGTGGTACACGGATCTTGCAGCGGAGTGATTGGCACAGAGTAGGTGTTCACATTTTGAGTGCTAGGTACCCTGCCGGGCAACATACGTTTTTATTTTAACACCCTGACTCAGTCAAAACCCCCATCACTCAAAGTGACTCATCCCAGCTAGGAGCTAGGAGAAGAGATCAATGCAAAACTAATTCTGATTAAAGTGTGAGTGATGGAGAGTGCTTAAATAAGGACCCGGACCCTCGTTCCTAAGTGTTTGCATTTTCAAATGCTGTAGAAGTCAAAGAGATGTCCCTTCATTTATTTAGGGAATATTCATTGACCATCTAATACGTGCGAGGCATTTGACCAAGTGCTGAGGTTGGGATGGCGTAAAAAAGACAGAGTCCCTGCCTCAGAGCAGAAGCGCATGGTGGATGAAAATAACCAGCAAGATGAGGGCAGATAAACTGCTGCTGGAAATCAAGGAAGGCTTCATGGAGGAGGTGGGTTTTGTAAAGTATGTGGGACCTGGCGTGTAAGCGCACCTACCCACCCAATGACTGGTGACAAAAACCCAGATGTTCTTCATAACTTCTGCCTCTCACATCTCACACCCGGTCACCCATTAGCAGGTACTGTCATCATTTCTGTCTTCAAAACATCCCTCAAATCCAGCCATTGCCCCACCTCCGTCAGCCATATGCTATTTTATTCCCAACCTTCTGCTGGCTTCACACCAATTTAGAATAAAGTCCATCTTCCCTTTCTGGCCCTAAAAGGCCTTCCAAGACCCTGCCTGTTATTGGCTAAATGTGTTCCCTTCCCCCAAACCTGTACTTTGAAATTCTGACTCCCAGAACCTCAGAATGTGACTATATTTGGAGACATGGTCTTTAAGGTAAGATGAGATCATTAAGGGGGTCCCTAGTCCAATATGATAGTTGTCCTTATAGAGTTTAGGACACAGATACACAGCACACACACAAATACACACACACACACACACACACACACACACACACACACACACACAGAAGACTTCATGGAGGCACAGCAGGGAGAAAATGATGATCTACAAGCATGGAGAACTGCTTCAAAGGAATCAACCACACTGACACATTGATCTCAGACTTTGAGCCTCTGGTCTGTAAGATAATAAACTTCAGTTATTTAAACCACCCAGTCTCTGATGCCTTATTCTGGAGGCCCTGGCACACTGGCACACTGGCACACTGCCCTGTGACTCTCCCTTTTGCTCTCATCTCCAGACACTGGCCTCCAAGTTCCTCCAGATTCACTGATTGTGAATACTTATGCCCCAGGGCCTTTGTACAGGCTGCAGTACTCTGTGCACTTCCCCCCGCATAGTCACGGAAAGATTAATCTGGAAGCAGAATGTAGGATGCATTAAAAGAGAAAGCTATTCACTCAGCACCCACCCTGTACCAGGCCCTGGGCCAGCTCCAGAGCTGCGCAGATGAATGAAGAGGCTTTGCATTCCCTGAGGAGGGAACTGGAGTCCAGGGAGAAAGCAGAACGTTTTAGATAGTAAGAGAGGTGGGCTGGAGAATTTGCAGAAGAATGAAGAGGCCAAGGGGCCTGAGGTGTCCTCCAAATCTTGGGGAGTGCTTTGGAGTGAATGCATCCCCTCAGAATTCACGCTGAAGTCCTAACCCCAATGTGGTGATATGTGGAGGTGGGGCCTTTGGAAAGTGATCAGGGTTAGCTCAGGTCTTGAGGGTGGAGCCCTCATGATGGGATTAGTGCCCTTATACAAAGTGGAAGAGACAGGAAGCTCTCTTTCCACCTTGTGAGGACACCTGTGAGAAGGTGGAAATCTGCAAACCAGGAAGAGGGCCGCCCCAGGAACCTAACCTGCCTTGAGCTCGGACTTCCCAGTTGCAGAAGTGTGCAGAATCAACACTTGTCATTGTAACAACCTGGGCAAGTGAAGGCAGGAAGAGTGAGGCCCACGAGTGGGTGTCGGGAGATGCAGTTTGCATCCCTCTTCTGCTGGTGTGACACTAGGCAAGGGATTGCCTGCTCTGGGCCTCAGTTTCCCCATCTGTACATATCAGGGTTTCTGACCTGACTATAGGAGATGACTTCGCCTTAGCTGACCAGCTCTGAGGCCCCAGAAAAGGCTAGAGCCTACACCCTATTGGCTGGGAGCTGCCGGGTAGCACCCTCCAGGGCAGGTGAGAAGGAGGTGGGAAGGCAGCCTCAGGCAGGGACCTCACAAAGCACTTTTCAGGAGTGCCTGGGGTCAGCACTGGAGCTGAGTCCTGCAGGATCTGGCAACCACGGGACATACATTCCCCTCCTTGGTTAAATATTTGCCTGCTTTGGCCCCATCTCAGAGGAGTTGGACTAGTCAGCCCAGCCAACACATTTGTACGTGGCCTTGAGCACACATGGGCTTACGCTTAGGCAGCACTTTTGTTACCCAGTTTTTTATTTACCTAGAAAAGGAAAAAAAGAGATACTTGCTCCCTCCCCTCCCCCTATACCCGCTCCCGCCCTACTACCCAGCTGACCTTGGCTCCACTCAAGACCAAGGTCATTCAGGCCACCCTAGTAGGGGAAAAAGCCACAGGTCCTCATGCTGAGAGTGTGGGTCTAAATTCTTGCTCTGCTGCTGGGGCCGTGTGTCTTTGGCAACTCTCTTAACCTCTCTGAGCCCAGTCTCCACTTCTGCAAAGTGAGTTAATAAAGGGTTTGTGGTCTGAGCCCTCTTAGTTCTCAACCCTTCCCCTTCCTGGCCCTGCTCTGCCAAACTCATTGCCCTTCTATCGGGCAGCTCTCCCCCTCTGGGCTTTTGTATTCCTGTCTGGGCCACACCTGTCCTTTCCACATGGCAGTGGGCAGCCTCGTGGGTGGGTTCAGATCTCCTCTGTGTGGCTTACCTGTTAGGGGAAGTTACCTAACCTCTTTCAGCCTCGAAGCCCTGTCTGGGTGATGGGGGACGAGAACCAGAGCTTCTTCTCAGGGTCGTGGGGAGGGTTAAGGAAGACGATGCTTGCGCTTCATGGTCCTGAGGAAGGACATCGGTGAAGATCAGCGTGAGCATTCACGACACCAGCCTCGCTGCCCTCCCTGCCTCCGCCCTCTCCCTGTGTCACCCTGGTTGGTAGGACGCCTCCTCCTTCTTCCCCTATGCCATGCTTACCTCGAAAGGCACAGCCCATGCAGGGCTTGTGAAGACTCAGAGTGCCGCCAGGGCAGACACCGGGCCTCCTGTATCTTCCAGCCTCCAGGTCACCAGCGCTTGATCAGAGCCATGATCTTGAATGAATGACTAAATGGGTGAATGAATAAATAAACTGCCAATGACCTTTCCAGCCCTGTGGGGAAGCGCTCTTGGTCTTCACCAGTCAATCCTGATCCCTGTCCCACTTTCTAAGTCATGCCCTAGAAAACAACTGCCAGGCACAAGTGCATGACAGAGTGATCGATGGACGGACAGCCCGGCAGGACAGAGGAAGGAGGCCAGAGCGGTCACGAGGGCCAGGCCCTGGTTCGCACCACGGCTCCTACAGTGGGCGAGGGAATACCACGCATGTCTACACCCTTCCATTCACCTGGCCTTGGAGGCAGGTTTGCTGGGCTCCCAGTCCAGGCTGGTGCAGTCCCCAGAGAGTTTCCATAAATTGCATCTGAGAGCTGCCGGGGATGAATTCATAGGGTACATGAGACCTGAAGCTCAGCTCCATGAGGGAGGACGCTCCCCTGGCCACGCCCAGACCCTGAGGCTGGGCTGCCACCAACCCACTTTGAACTCGGCCCCGGGGTGGGCCTGCACCACTGAGGCCGACCAGCAGTTTCTCAAGGATCATAACAAAATCCCGAGTGAGAACCCAGAGACTGTACCTCATTTCCCTTGGCACCAAGCCTGCTTCTTATTTTTTATTTTTGAAAACAATACAGTGATCACTCTTCTAACTACTTCTTAAGACTCAGGACCCTTTGTGGTTTATTTTTATTGCTGCTTTTGTTGGCTGGATCTTTGGAAAGTAAGATGCAGACCTCATGATCACTTACCCCCAAATGCTTCAACAAATTATCTCCTAAAAATAAGGGCCTTGTCTGAACATAACCACATTCCACCTTCTCATTTCAGATAATTAATGATAAATTCCTAATATCATTTAATATCCAGCCCACAGTCAAATGTGTAGAATGGTCACCCAAATAGCTTTTATAATTTCTTTTTCCCCAATCAGAACCTGACCAAGATTTATGCAGTGTGTTCTGTACGGTGCATCGTAAGTGTTTTAATCCAGAGCTGGGTCTCCTGCCTGCACCTCTTGTGTTCTGTGTTTTTCCCCTGACTCTGGCTGCTGGTCAGAATCAGGCCAGACATCATGAAGGATTTCTCACACCCTAGGCTTGTTCACAGTCCCCTCATCCACCTGGAAGTGGCTCCCAGATGGGCCTGAGTACAGCCCATTCCAGGGTGAGTTACGGCTGGTGATGTTAGTGAGGGACACTCTGTGACCCTTTCCAGCACTGGCTGTGGGGACCCAGGGGGAACTGAGCAGAAGACAGGCTCTGGGGATGAGGCACCACTGTCACATCAGAGTGAACTCAGAGGACCCGGGCAGGTGGGGGCTTCTGGATCGCTCCTGACTCCCACCCACCCACATCACTTGCCCCTGCCTCCAGCCGCCGGCGCTGCCTCACATAGCTTCTGCCTCCCAGTTCTTCTCATCTCAGGTCTGGGAAAAACCCTGGGTACCCATCCTCTAAACCTGCCTTGGTTCAGTGTAAGCTCTAGATTAACAGAAATGTTCCGTATCGCGTCAAAAAGTAAATAGATAAATAAATAAAACCAAATTAGAGATACAGCATTACTGCACTTCACCGAGGTGAGTCGGAGCTTTCAGCATGACCTCAAAAGCTGAAACTGTGCAGAGAAAAAGGAATGGATTTGGCTAAATCAATCAGCTATAATAAACAGCCGAACAAAATCTGGGAAAATAAAATGAACTATACTTAACCATGGTTAACTGTTGACACATCGTATCTTCAATGTATAAGATTTAATCTGTAGAATTTGTATAAATAGTAGGCACTTTTGGCTTTCTATTGAGGTATAATAAATTACTCCAAATGAGTGGCTTGAAACAAGAATTGTTTTAAATATTTGCTATTGCTTCTGTGGCTGGACAGGGCTTGGCAGGACAGGGCTTGGCAGGACGGGCTGTCTCCCTCTGCTCTGTGCTTTGGTCATCAAAGTAGAGCTGGACTGGCTACAGGACCCCCCTCCAAGGTGGCCACACACCTGGCCGGCTGCCAGAGCCAGAGCTGTGAGCTGAAGCCTCGATTTTCTTCCTTTCTTTCTTCTACAGCTGGTCCATGTAACCAGACGGGGCCTCCGGCAGCATGGGGGTGTCATGGTGGTGGGACTAGTTGCCTGGCAGCTGGCTTCCAAGACAGCCAAAGCAGAAGCTGCTAGACTCTCTGAAGGCTGAGCCCTGACACTGTCCCGGTGTCACTCCTGCCTCATTCTGTTGGTTCAAGCAGGTCACCCGAGCAGCCCAGATTCAGGGGAGAAGGGAGCAGAGACATGACTGCCAGGAGACATGGTTCACTGGAAACGCCAAAGGAACCTTCTGCCACAATGAGAAACTCAACAAAATCCCAACAGAAAAACTGGCAGCAGAAGACAACACATAATTCACATAAAAAATACAAATCACTGATAAACATATAAAAATGTATTCAACCCAACTAATAACTGGAGAAATACGCCTTTAAATTTCATCTAATTTTTCCCGACCCAAGAACGGAAGAAGGCATTGCCAAGACTCACAGAGCACTGTTGGCGTGGAAACTTCTGTACATTTCCCAGAGGGAAATTTTGATAAGAGGTATCAAAAAACCCTAAGAGTGGTGAATCTTTTGATTCAACAATTCCATATTTTGGATTTTCCAGAACATTTTAGCAAGGCAATACTCGGAAAAGTGTACAGTGTTGTTTAGTAAGTAAAAGATTGAAAGGAACTCGAATAGCGGACTAAATAAATTGTCACATTGACTCGGTGGAACACAATGCAGGAAATGAGATCTTAACGGACTTGGCATTTATGCCACTGACCTTGCATCAGGAAATATTTGGCCACCCTTCCTGCCTCACATCACCCAGCTCAGATGTTCGTTTACTCATTCGTTCCACAAACATTGAGAGTCACACGGGTGCATGATACAGCCCCTGCCTCTGAAGCGTTTTCACAGTCTTTGGAGAAAGTGAATAGGGATGTTAATTGCTAAGTATAACACAATGTGAGTAACAAGGATGGATACACATTGACAACCCACTTCTTTCATTCAGAAGTCACCCCCATAAGGCCCCCAAATGAATAAAATAGTACCTAATACTGGTGAGGATGAAGGCAAACAGGCTCAAGGAGAACCTGTAAATTGGCATATCACCCTCATCTTCCAATAGAAACTCATTAAATGGGGGGAGGGTGTAGCTCAGCAGTAGAGCACATGCTTAGCATACATGAGGTCCTGGGTTCAATCCCCACTGCCTCCATTAAACAAACAAAGAAACAAACAAACCTAATACTTATCCCCCCCCCCAAAAAAAACCAACAAAAAGAAAGAAACTCATCGAATAAATTATGGTGTAACCATAAAATGGGACTCTATATAACTCTGAATAGAGATTGATCTATCTCCATGGTACTTGCTATAATAATAAAAAGATTTTACTTCATTTTGTTTTGTTCTGTTTATTTCTTCTAATTGAATAACTTGTCCCCAGTCACATAAGACATACAAAAGGGACATTTCTAAAAATATAAGAAATCATTTTCAGGGTTGGAACATCTGGGGAGTGGTACCAGGAGGTAAAAGAAAGACTTATTTTTCATTTTATGCCCTAAGAACTGTATGGGCTGAATGTTTGTCCCCCTCCAAATTCATGTATTGAAATTCTAACCCCCAACATGATGATATTAGGAGATGGGGGCCTTTGGGGTGATTAGACCATGAGGGTGGGGCCCTGCTGAATGAGATTGGTGTCCTTCTATAAAAGACCTCGAAGGGTTCCCTGACCCGCTTCCACCACATGAAGACACAGTGAAAAGATAGTCATCTGTGAACCAGGAAGCCAGCTTTCACCAGGTCGTGAATCTGCCAGGACCTTGATCTTGGACTCCACAGTCTCCAGAACTGTAAGAGAGAAAGTCTTCTTGCTGAAGTCACCCAGTCTATGGTATTTTGGTTACAGTAGCCTGAACAAACTAACACAGGCACCAAAGGATTTTTCTGGGACCCAGTATGCATGTTTCATAAAAATACTGTATTATAATAAAACATTTAAAATGTATCAAAGACAGGGTTTTCATTACAGTATCTTACTAGCATCCTTTAAATTCATGCATAGATTGATCCATTTGTTCACTGAGTCATTCAACAATTTGGTGGCAGTCACATCCCAGGTGGGACGATACAAAGAACGGAATACTCAGAGTCTAGGGGAGAACCCACAGGAAAAGGCACTTTAGCACTGCAGGAGGGTTCAAGAGCCAGTGACATCCTCGGTCCACCTAGGGCACACTGCAGGGGCCATGGAGTGGGCAAGCAGGAGGTGGGGAGTTTCGAGGTGGGGGGTTTCAAGGAGAAGGGGACATCTGAGTTGGGCTTTGAAGGGTGTGTGATTTGAGCCAGGTGAGGAAGCCCGGGCAGGAACCCTGGCATCCAACATCACAAACAATTAATGTTTCCAACTCAACTGACCTATTTAGCAGGAATGAAATTTGCAAGCCAAAGGGAAGAGATAAGAGAAGAGAGGCTTCCAGATTGGGGAAGAATGTGAATGCATTTTATAGCTTATCACAGAAGGAACCACACCTCGTTTGTGTGCGGGTCTTTTTTCTTTTTTCATCCAGAACAAGAAGCGTCTCTCACCATCCCTACCCTGTCACCATGGTAACCAAAGGCCCTTCTGCTCAGTGTGAAGTGATGGGCTTTGTGTCTCCTTTCCTGGGATAGCTCGTGGTTCATGATGCAATGATTTCCAGGCAGGGCTTCCATGAGGACAGCCCACATCCTTCCTTAGATGCTGAAACACATTTCAGTGACACAGTGCCAGGCAGTCGAGAGTTCTGGGAGGGCCTCTCAAACCTCTGTCCTTCAGTGTCTCGGTTAATAAGTAGATGTAATCATGGCTTGGTTTCTACAGATGTGACCTTGAACAAGTCACTTTCTCTCTCTGAAGAACAAATATCCCAGGGCCAACTAACTCTCAGGATTGGTCCAAAGATCCCAGTGATATTGCCCCACATCAGTTGCCACCCATACAAAACTCATCATCTTGCAATCTCAAGTGCCTAAGCTTTGTCCTCCATAGCTCTGGGCTAATGTTCTCTGCCCAGGGACCTGTTGGCCACAGCCATCTCGGCTTACTCCAATCACTCCTTTCTCTTCTGCCTCCCTTAGCATCTTTCAGCCCAGTTGCCTCTTATTGACACCCACGTCCAGAGCCCCAGTTTAATTGTCATTGTTTCTCCCTTTATAACAGGCCACCAACCATTTCTCCCTGCTCTGGTTCTTCCATCACACAACGGGAGACATCAAGCTCTTTTGAAAACATAAATCTATGTCCTCTCTTGCTTGCAATCCCGCAATGGTATTCGTTGCTTGAAAGGCAATGAAAATTCCTTATAAGAGTTTATAAGGGCCTTCCTGGTTGGCCCCCATCTACCCAGTCAAGATCAAATCTAGATTTTCCAACCCCCATAATATATGCTCTGTAAATCTATTACTAAT